ACAAATGTATGTGGGTCCTATAATTTAGGAGGTTCTGCCACACCTCGTCCTTCCGCTTCCCCTTGGTGTCGTTGTCAGGGAAGATGGCCCCAACGGCCTCTTCACCTGTGGCGAAGTTGGTGGCGACATCGAGCGATACGGCCACCGAGGTTGGCACGTTCCAGCCCAACTCTCGGACCAGGTCTCGGCAGGTGGTACCAGAAAGGAAGGCTTGGACAATTTATGAGTCACCGACGCTTGGCAGCTCGGTGCATTTCTTAGAAAAGCGTCGGATGAAGTCTCGGAGAGACTCGTCCGGCGCATCATGACTAACTTTCAGTCCCAGAGTTCCCTCAGGCGCACGTATGTGCCCTGAAAATTCCCGACAAAGACCACGACCAAGTCGCGCCCGATCCATGGATCTACGAGGCGGAGGTGTTTCGAGCCAGCTCGCGCGCCGAGTCCGAGCAGAACAACAGGAGGTTGCGGATGATGAGCCGGTCATCGTCCGTGCCACCTAGTGACCGACAAGCCAGTGATAGTCGGCCAACCAAAGTTTGGGATTGGTTTCACCACAGATTTTGTGAGGTTGGCGGCTGTCAAACCGGGCTGGGAAATGGGCGACACGGATAGCTCTGCTAAAGACTCGGGGGCCGGGTGGCTCAGGAGAAGGACTGCGGTCCTCCTCGCTGGCGTAGCGGCCACCTCGGTGCACATGGTAGCCTCAGGCGGGCCCCTCGCTGTCATGGCGCCGTCGCCTGCCGGCTACCTCGTGCTCGTCCTGCGCCTCGCGTCGGTTGCGTAGCAAGGGGACCCTGTTGACTACCGACGCCCGAGCGGGCTCAGGATGAACCGAGGCCTCCCGATCCTGTCGAGGCGGTGCTGTGAGAAGTTCCGAGGCGCCACCGCGTCGCCAAGAGGCGGAACTTTTGGTCTGCTGCACCGCGGCGGTCTCGAGGAGATCCTGGAGCTCACCGTGGACCCGTCGCCCCTCCGTGGTAGAGGGCTCGGGCATTGTTCGGACTAGCATCGTCGCAGCCGTGATGTTCTGGCTAGCGCAATTAAAGATTGGGGGCTGCTCACCCCCGTCATCGTCGTTGATGCGGTGGTGAACATTGTGGGCCCTCCACCGGGCTCCTCCGCCATCATCATGACCTTGCTTTAGCTCGCCGAGAGTGTCTCGGTGCCAGCAGGCAGAGGAGTCGGTCCTGTTCGACCTTGGCCTGAAGTTCATGGAGCTGCTCCAGGTTCGGACGTCGAAGTTGTGCGGGGGGCGGGATTCTCGTTCCATGCTGTCGGCGAGACAACACGTGGAGGTGTGGTGTCGCCCGTTCCCCAGTGAGGCGGGGAACGGTTGCCCGTCCCCTCGCCCTCATCGCTCGTCCTCGGCATCCCGAGTTCGACGTGGAAGCACTCGCGAGTGGGGTCGTAGGTGCCCTCGTCGTCAGAGTCGGAGTAGCCAAAACAGTAGTCGCTCGTGGCCAGGAAGCGGCACATGGATTCAGGGTCTCATAGTCCGAAGAAGTCTGCCCCGGCCCGCGCCTCGTCCTCCTCCGAGGAGTCAGCGTGGGAGTGGCTCGAAGTTGTGGTGTCAAAATCGAGGGCGAAGCGTTGGTGGCGTTCTAAGGGCTCTGCGTGAGCAGAGGCGTAGGCGGAAGCATAGGTGGCGGCGGGCGCTTCTCAACCCGGCGGGTGCGGGGGATGGTGCCATTGCGGGCTATGCTCTGCCAAGTCGATCCTCAGGAGGCGATAGGGCAGAGCTAGATGACGGGGCGTCGTCGCATGCCGCCGGCGCTTCGCCCGCGTCCAGGCTCAGGCAAGTCAGGTCCCCAATCAGGGATCTTGCGCCAATAGCTGGACATGGGGCACTGGTAGAACGCAGTGCGTCACCATGAGCTCACGTGGTGTCGGCGTGGCCTCGCTCGCGTCGTGTCTGGCGAGAGCGATGAGAGCGGCCGCCCGGGCGCCGTCTGCGCCTAGGCTGCGAGTGCGTGATGCCGACGTCGGTCGGCGGGGCTCGGGGAGTGAGGAGCACCATATCGTACTCACGTCCTAGAGACATGAACTCTAGGCTCCCGAACCGATCATCGTGCCAAGACGCAGTGGTCGTCGTGGGGTCCGCCATCCGGACTTGTTGGGATGACGGTTGACACGTAGAGTCCCCTACCGCGCGCATGGCTAACCGGTGTTTCGGACCGGGGGGTCCTCAACCAACTAGTAAATTTGTATTGCGTGCCCCTAATCCCGGATGGTGATGCAAAGAGACACAAGGTTTATATTGGTTTAGGCAATCAGTGCCCTACGTCCAGTCTAGGAGATCGATCTTGTATTCCTTGCACCGAAGTGCTCGTAGTAGGGGGTTACAAGCATGGCGAGAGAGGGAGCTAGCCCCAAATCTCTATGATGAATGGGACGAATTGCTCGAGACGCTGATCTAAGTGTGGGTGCTACGGCCTGTGTTCGTCTTCCTCATGAGTTCGTATGTGCCTAAGTGTGTTCCAGTTCATGCCCGTGTCCCTCATACCTAGAAACAGCCCCGGTCCCTCCCTTTTATAATAGAAGGGGGGATGGGGGTGATACATGCGCTAGTTACGTGGCGTCGTGTGAACAGAGGCGGCCTATCCGAGACCTGTAGCCTGTTGCTGTGGCGGAATAGTCGATGGAGTGGTTCTGTCCCTGGCCGGAGCAGCGCGCCGGTCACATCCGATCCTGTGCGACGTAATAGCTTGATGTAGGGCCTGACGAGCGACATGCCAGTCGTAGTGCGTTGTCCGCACGAAGTGCTGAGAATTAGCCAGCGTCGAGGCTGAGCCATCGTGGGGGGGCTCGGCAGGTGTGAACCCCAAGGTTGTTGAGACCCTGAGGTAAATTGTCGAGGCGTGGGTGGAGCGGCTGACCCTGCACCCTGATTCCGAGGCTACAGGGATCCGAGCTTAACTCCCCATGCCACGCCGTCCTCGGAGTAGTTAGAGTTAGGCAGCACAGTGCGGTATGGATATTTGGTCGTGCACAAGGTTGCGCATGATGACCGTAACTCCCCGCCTTGTCTTGTTTCGGACGGCATGGTGCCGATGTGATTTATGTTCGCCGGCCACTCCTAGCTGTCATCCGGATGACGTCGTGGGAGTGGTTGGTCGAGGCGGAGGCGATGGGGTGGTTTGCCGAGCCCGTCTTGAACGAGGTGGAGTGTTGGTAACTCGCCCAAGGCCTTTTAAGGGCGGGTCTCGGGTAGTCGGAGAATCGGTTTCCTGTTCGAGGCCTCTGAGGCCACCGGGCGCAGGCGGAGAGCTAGTTATCCATCCGAGGCCTTGGACGTGCCACTGTAGCGATACGGGGCCTCGGCGGTCAGTGTCGTACTCGGTTTAGGTGGAATAGTGCGGGACGTGTGTCCACAGGGCACGGTAACGCCTGCACCGTCAGTAAGGGATGGTAAAAAGAAGATTTGACCGTTGTCCCATCGCTCCTGTTGTTGTACCCTGCCGGTCGTGGCTGACGTAGCGGGTGCTCGCAGGGGCATTAAATGGATGGGATAGCCTGCCAGAGGGACGGTCGAGGCGGAGGCGACGAGGACACGGGACGAGCCCCGACTCTCAAGCGGCGGAGCGGATCGGGACCTCCGAGACCACTCGACTGTGGGCCTCGGGCGAGGCGGAGATTTGGTCCGAGACCGGATTCGGTCGAGCCAGCCTCGGACGTCACCGTGAACTGTTGACTAAGGAGGCCTTATGGGGGTTTTATGAGTTTTTTTGGCTTTTGCTTAGGGTACCCCTTTTTACGGTACCCGACAACAGGCAATGAAAGAAGTTGGGGAAAGAATCTCCTGTGCTATAGAGAATGCTGGAATGCCCGAGGAACTTCCTGAAGGTCTGTATGATGTTGTTTGTAGTCTTCTAGACTTTGATGACACACATTTGTCATTTTACCATGAGCATCTTGTTGACCGTCCAAGCAAAGCTAGAGCCTTTTGTTCTCTGTCGTTATCTCACAAGCTGAATTAGGGCTGCAAAGTTCATTACCGAGCACTTCCTTGAAAACTAAAGATATGGCTGTTATGCCTTGTTGCACACGAGTACTGCTACAGCTATTTTGCTAGTACCCCATAGACAATGCACTGTGGGTTAATCTATATATTTGTAGCAGACGTGCTTGTAACCCATCAAACAATGCACTCTTGGGTTATTATATATTTTGTATGTAATGTGAGGAAGTTCTAAAACCTGCTAATTATCTACATATGTAATTTATGTTCGGACAATGCATGTGCTTATCAAGATGTCATGTGTTTTGTACATGTGTTGCAGCTATTGTGCATGTTTGAAGGGGTAACCTCACCAGTTTGAGTAGGTAGTGATTGCAGCTCCCTTGTCCATCCTTGTCCATCCAACCAAACAAAAAATGGCTCGTCCCGTTATTCATATCTCGATATCAATAGATATCTATATCCAATCCACCCTTGTCCACAAACCAAACACATCTTTATAGGGTCTACTCTATTTGTTTTAAAAGATATGTTTGTTTGAAATTTACCATAAATCGAGCTTCATTAACTTCATAGATGTTGATGTATTTTGCTGTAAAATTTATTAAGGTTAGAAAACTAAAAAATTATTTGATTTGGGACAAAACTAAAAGGGCTTACATTTTAGAACTGAGAATAATAGCTAAGAAATCACAATGTTGTTCAACATTTGATACTAAACATAACTCGACAATCATTTAAGGTAACCCTTTCTATTTTTTCCCTTGTATACACTAGAAATGATGTAGTCTTTTAGTATTGGTTTTCAAAAGATCCATTGATGTTTGCAACGTGCACGAAAACCTGTGTAACAAATGTATTCGATTTCTCTAAAAGGAGCAAAATGGAACTTCGTTGTTCTGTAGGGACGTGTTTAGAATTATTTCCAAGATAAACGACTACACTTGATAGTCAAAGACAGTTTAATAATAATAAGGGGAAAAAAGAGGAAACGATTTCGAGGGGAAATCTCACCTGCGAGAGCGCGAACAAATTTCCGGCGATGTCGGCGGCGCCGGCTGCTAGCCCATGGTTACGGCCGTCTCCAACTGTGCGGCTCCGCGAAACGGCCTTCTTGGCCTGTAGCATCAGCTCCACCCCTACGCGGCTCTGCATCGGACGACGCTGCTCGGATAGAACTTTGTGAGGCCCCTTATCTCGCCTAAAATCTTCGATTTCTTGACCCAGTTGCTCGAGGCCACGCATGTGTTGACCGATAATGATTCTACTTCGTAGATTTGGTTGTGCCTTTTCCCCGTTCTCTCTTGCCCCTTCCAAGTTCGAATAGTATTGGGGAGTAATTTAGTGGTCGGATCAGCGATCTTGCCAGATATGGGATTGAGCTGTGCAGATAGCATTTTGTTTGTTGAATACACTACTTGTGTGGGTGACAGCCATCCGATGATCTTATTTAGTGTGACCTTAGTTATATGAAAACCTAGATGGGGTACTTTCATGATTGGGGCCTCGAGTTGGTAAACATGTGACCATAATGCCTATCATCAATTTCTAACACCTATTCAGTCGGCTCTAGTTTCAAATATCCATACTCCTGCCCAACCTTGAGTCCCTAACTCCCAACATATCCTCCAGATACGTGTAGTTTTTAATGAAGGATTTGATGAACATTGATCCTAGCAGAAAATGTCATGATTAATATTTTCATGAATGCAATCATGAAATGCATTGCACTAGAAATGAAGAACCATATGCTATTCTTAGAATGCCTAACATGTCATCTTCAGTGTAGGGATTCAAACTGCTGGTTCCAACTTGAGAAGATGCATGATTGCCCATGTTAAAAGTGGGGAGGCTGATGGATATCCAAAAACTGAGGATTTGGTGGACGAAGAAACTCTGCAGTCAAATTTAGACAGAGCAATCAAGGAAGAAGATTATGTCCGTGCTGCAAAGATCCGGGATGATCTGCGTATCCTCCATGAGGATGCTAAGGCTTCGCTCCTTGCAGCAAATGCACGGTTCTACAATGCCTTCAAGAATGGGGATATCGCTGCAATGTATTCTATCTGGTCTAAGGGTGACCATGTATATGTTATTCATCCTGCTGCAGGTCGGATATCCGGTTATGATGTGGTCATGCAAAGCTGGGAGATGGTTTGCAATGCAGATTATGAGTTTCCACTGAATATTGATCTCAAGAATATAGACGTTCACATCCGTGGCAGCCTTGGTTATGTCACGTGCTTGGAAGTGGTGAAGACCAAAGGAAGAACTTGGGGAAAGCAAATCGCGACCAACATGTTTGAGAAGGTTGATGGCACATGGCTGATGTGTGTGCACCATGCTTCACGCATAGAAGAATGAAGTGCACACACACAGCCTGGATGGAAATTTTGTCAGGGAGATCACAATGTACAATTCTGAGAAATTTGTGTAGCTTCTGTTTTCAATGTGAATTTTGTTGTCAACGCCTTATTTTCATAGTTACTGGCATATTTTGCCTGATGCACGGATGGACCATGATTGAGTTCACTGGCTGTTTTACAATCATCTGATATTCTGATGAAAATGGCTATGGCCTATGGGACTTGGCTTGCAAGAAACACGGTCCACCATATCTAGTCTACTGGCCATGTTCGCTTGTTTTATCAGCCGTACATTTTTAGTGAAGGAACAATGTTTTTCTCTCATAATAAATCAGCGAACAATACTTTTCAGCGAATAGTAGCCAATTTGTCGTGTTCTTGTGAATCGTGGAGTAAGGTTTGATGATGATGAGAACCGTCGTCAGAACACAGAAGTTTTTTGTGACACTTTTTTGACTGAAGTGCTTCTATAATCTACCAGATTGAGGGTGCTGAAGTTTTTTACTGGCGACTTTGATATTCCTCTGTGGCAGTTAAACTTGTTTACGATATCTTGTGACTGGTGTTATCTTGCTCGCTGTTACCTCGAGAAATCTTGGAACCAGAGTCGGTATTGGTTCAACCTGGACGAGTTGCCTTGATCCTGCGCTTAGATGTGTGCAACACCGTTCAAGTTTGAGTGACTCCTATTTTAATGATTTTGTATTAACAATGACTCCTGTACGCATCATGTTATCCTAGAACATTTTGCCGAGGAGAATAGGTCATCATCAAGGGGCAGAAAAGGAATTATCGGAACAAATAAAGGGCCGAAACGATCTAGGGCACGTTTAGTTCCCTTTAAATTCATAAATTTAGCACTATGCAAAAAGAAGATTCTCCGTCACATCAAACTTGCGTTATATGCATGGAGTACTAAATGTTGACGAAATCAAAAACTAATTGCACAGTTTGGTTGTACTTTACGAGACGAACATTTTGAGTCTAATTAGTCAACGATTAGACAATTATTATCAAATAAGTAGCTGCAGTGAATCGGTCGCCGCCCATTCGGGCGATCTAAACATGGCCCTACTAAAGCCTGAACACGAGGGGCATCAACTCCCACTCTTTCCGCGCCCCTTCGCCCCCTCCTTCCTCTCCAAGAAAAAGGAAGCGCGGCGAGCAACAACCTCCGCCGCCGCGCACCTACGCCAACGGACCACGCCGTCATATGAGTGGAGAACCCCGGGCCTCCCCCTCGGCGAGCACGGTAGGAGGAGACTAGAGCGGCAGCAACATCGACGGTGTGGGTGAGGAGGGGCGATGATGCTCCCGCTGGTGAAGCTCGGCCCGCTCGCGTTCCGGACGCTGAGCAAGCCCATCGCGGCCCGCCTCAAGTACAACGCCGGCATCCACCCCAAGTTCCGCGGTCTCATCATCGGCCTCGCGCAGGTGATCGACGCTCCATCTCGTCTGGCATATTTTTCGTACTGCAATCTGTCCGCCGATGCTTGGTTTCGTTTCGATTTGCCATGGAGAAATTCCTCCTTGCAGTTCGTTTTTCTGTAAGTTGCAAGTTGAGGCTGCTTGAACGCTTGATCGTTTTTAGCCGGTACGGCTTCGATGATGCAGCGGGCGTTCCGAGATTCTTGATGTTTTTAGCGTGCCATAATGTTCGTGGAATGAGTTGGCTTATTGCGTTTGATCTGATGAGAAATGCCTGCGGAATGGATCTCTACAATGTGCAATGCTGTCTGGGGTTCAGAATTTTGTCCCCATATTGGATGATATACTGCATTGATCTAAATCGTTTGTGATATAGTGAATTTATTAAGTATTAATCAATTATTTTCGGGTGCACAAGTTTCTGAAGTCCGTTCTACTTTTTTTTTTCTGAATGTTCATACCAATAGGAATACCCTAATTGTGAGGACATTTCGGAATGATGCCTTAGGGATCAGTTTAGGTTTGAATCTATGTTTTTATGCTGTATCAGTATTGCCTATCAGGTAACAATAGGCCCAATTTATTCACCCATACTTTGGGAGCATCATCAATGATACAGTCTTCACCAGAACACACACAAAAAGAAGTCCACAATAGTCCTTGTAAAATACTTCTGCAATGTTGATGATGTGGGCACATTGTCTGATGGAGGAAATGGCGTCTTGGATATAGAAATGTTGTTCAGCTCTTCTGAGTAAAATTTTCACAATGAGTTTTGCATTGTACAACAACTGAAAATGCAGCAGGTCAATAGCATTGCTCTGTTATCCTATCGCTGTCATGGCTATTTTCTTCGCATCTTACTGTATTGCTCTCTTACTGTAAACTGAATAGGTTCTGGTTCTGAACTAGCAAACATGGAATCACACTGCTCTGCACCATACATTATGGGACAGCTGTAACTGACACATTTTATGGCATATAATTCCAGGCAAACCATCGGTTTACAACAAATATGCAGAGGCGAGTTTACGGACGTGCGACTGACATTCACATTCGGCCCCTGAATGAGGAGAAAGCTATTCAAGCTGCTGCAGATCTTCTTGGGGAACTATTTGTTTTCTCGGCAAGTACTCTTGACTTGCATTGTTCTGAATAGCAATGGTCTTTTTCAAAGTAAAATGAATAGAAAAGGATTAACGACGTTTTCTTTTCATGCATGATGAGAAACAAAATCCGATTATTCTAGAATATATTTTATTACTTTCACAATGACTCATCAGACCCTAGAAATGACTAGAGCTGACGTGAACTCACATAATTTCTCAGGTTGCTGGTGCTGCAATTATCTATGAGGTGCAAAGAAGTGCTAGGTCAGAAGCCAGAAAAGAGGAAGTCCGTAGTCAGGAAATTGAGGTAAGATGACTGCCTCCAACTTTTCTCTAGGAATCATTAGTTCAATTGTTAATGAAAACATGACATTGGCACATTGCCAGGATATCTCTTGAACACAAAATGCAAGGCAGAATACAAATTTGATCTTAAAAATCGCTTCTGGTTCCTCTGTTCTTGATGGCAATTATGTTATGTGGTACATCTTCTCAGGCCTCTTCCATAATTATTCATGTCCAAATGACAGGCGATAAAGAAAAGGGAGGAGCAACTAGCCCAGGAAGTACAGCTCATGAAACAGAAGATTAGCGAGATGGAGCGGCAGTACTCGAAGTGGACTCTTCCGGGGTTTCGCGGCTTGGGCACTGCTCAGGCGGCGGCACAGCCTGCTGGTACTCAGCAGCCAACAGCTGCGTAATTGCTCTACTTCTGCAACTGTCGATAGCTCGCGGTCTGAACGGCCGACTGCAGACTGCCTCCGTTTCCCTTGCACTACTCAGTTACATAATTGATTCGACTGAAGTTACTGGCGAAAGGTTGAAGGTTAGGTTGTGGATAATGAATAGTACTCGAGAGGAATTTGAACTGAATCGAAGTTGTTATCGGTTCATCAGATTGGCGACGTGACATTCAGTTTAAAGTTTTGACATGCCCAAGAAAAAATTCTTGGAGCTGAGATGATGTATCCTATCTGCATCTCGTGTCCGGCATATGCTTTGCTCTGCTTTACGGACTTCCCTTTTACTCCATTTGTAAAGGCAGGGCATATTAGGATTCAAAAAAGTGAAACATTCTAAATTTCTATCATTAATTAGTCAAAATGTGTGTGTCTAGTGCGCAAGAGATGCATCAATAAATCTGTATTTCAAGTCTTTCAGTAAGACATTGATCTTGCATTAACCGATAATAGTACTACTCAATTGTAAAAGGTATCGATGGTCTGAGCATAGGTTGAGAGACTACTCAAATCCTCATAAGGCTTCGTTCGTTTGCAGGGAGTTGATTCCCAGATCGGTCTCTTCAATAATTTATAATTTGTACTGGTTGGGAATTGTTCCGGACCTGGAACGGCCAGTAATAGCCTCACCGAACGGCCCCTAAGCCTTATCTATACCTGATAATAAAAAGATAAAATTTTAGCCTTTTTTTTCGTCCACCTATTTTTTTATCCACCCCCTCTAACTATGCGACAATGGAGGGTTTTTCTATCCTGACTTATATATATATCCCGTGCTCAGACAAGTTAGAATATTGCTCTTGTCTAGCGCGATACGGAATCCGATTCCAAAACGTATTGGGTCGGAAACTGAAAGTCTAGATTCCTATGTTTTTTTAATATTTATATTGGAAATTAGAAAATGGGAAAAAAGTGACGGATTGAAAACCAATCGGAAGTGACGGAACCAATGGGATGTGGAAAAAGAAGACTATGAAAAAACGAAACCTAATTAGATACTGTAAAGCAACGAAAGAAAATCAAACAGAAATCTTCTCTACGCTAATAAGAAAATAGAAAAACGGATAGAGCGTGCACAAGAAAAAAAAATTCTGGAACCCCAAATCCCACGCCAGCCAGTAGTGACGTATTTGTCTAAATAAAAATAAGCCGCCGGTCAAAAAAACAGAAAAGAAAAGAAAAAAAGACTAACAAAAAAACTCCCCAAAGATATCCTAGGTAACCTAGATAGTTAGGAATCTTAATCCCAATAGATCTCTCCGATCTTGAGTAAGTTGAATACGAATACTAATAAGCAAATAAAAAAGGATAAAATAGAAATCAAGAAGACTTTTTTGTTCAAGTCAGTTCGCCTCTGAATATTAAATCATGGAAAGTTTTTGTCCGACTATAAAGATGGACTCGCTGTTGTGGGTTGGCGTGGCCTATTTCGCCATACCTGTTTTCCTTGAGGAACATGTACCCCGTAGCCCGTTATTATCGTCACAGACTCACATATGCATGGGGATGGTATGGGTATGCATGCAAAAAGATATGTGACCAATTGTTTTGCCCATGTCTTTTGTTTTTTCATTTTATTTGTACTTATGTAGAAAACAAATAATAAATATACTTATCTTTCGTTACTAAATAAATATTCCTATCACTAAGTTGTTGATATAGTTTTGATTATGAACAAAACTTATTTTTGTTAGAACCCAGATCAACCAATTATCCATTTAATCAAATAATGAGCAAATTTTGAACAAGCTATACATAAGTACCAGTGCAATCCTCAACAAGGGTTGTAACTCAATATTAAACTCTACCTACATATAGATATTATTATCAAATCTAAAATTACGGTGTGCCTTACAATGGGTGAAATGCTTCTATCAAAGTATTATTTTTGGATATAGATTTAATAGGACATTATCATATTATTGGTAATACTAATTGATATTGTATATTTCGTGCTCATCAAAATGAATTATAAACTTTAAATTTTATGGAAAGAAAAAATATAAATGTATATGTAACATTTTTGTGATATCTTTTTTTTCTCCCGTTGCAACGCACGAGCATGTTTGGTAGTAAAAATAAATGGAGCTCTAAAGGTGAACGAGTTGGTCAACGCTCATGGAATGAAATCTGTGGCGTCACGGCGCTTTGATATGCAGAACAGCAGGAGCGTGTTGAAAATGCACCAAGAAGCATCAAGTATCTCGATGCAAGTATAGATGCACTGTGACAGAAGAATTTCATCAGCAAAATCTTGCTCGTATCTGATATGATTATTTACCGCATTTCTACTGAAATGGAATGATAAACTGGAACCTGACATCAGCAGAGGGATTCAGTTTTTTTTTCAAAAAAATAAAAAAATACTATCCTGATTTACAAACACATAGCCCTTCAGTTCCCGATGGACAAAATCTCAATAACATTAATCGAATTCTAGAACCACCTTGCCAGGAACCAACTTTTTCTCCTTGGCCGCATGAGCTTCTCTTACATGGCTGATGGGAAAGGTCTTCTCCACAGGTATCTGTAATTTCCCAGCTCCAGATAGCCTTTGGATCTCATGAAGCCCTTCGGCATCAGCTCTCATGTATGTCCACCAATACTCTGAAATTATTTGGATAGAGATATCAGAACATCTTTTATAAAATGCAATATGTAGTAGTAGCCAGTAACCTACATAGCCAAATTTGCTTCTGTATGAGATATTACATTCCTAAACTTTGTGCCACCTATTGGGCAATACTCCAACAGAAGAGCTTTATACGAGATACATAAAAAAATCATAAAATGCATACATAATTCCATTTCCTGGCTTGTTTTTTTTTTTTGAAATATCTAGATCCAACTGGTTCCGATGGAGCAACTACACCAATGGCCACTGCAGATATTCTCCATGTCCAGTTACTGGGTTTAAAACTTAAAAAAAAATGACAGTTCACTGCTATGAACTTTGTGTATGTACTATTGTATATGCAAATTGAACCCATTATCCAGTAAGTTTGATGCATTGATTACAACAAATATGCCACAGAAGGTTGCTTTCAAATACTACACTAGCCAGCAGTGGAGTAGTATTCTTTCTTGGAAATACTTAGTATTTGAGAAATAACTCTGCTAAAGTCCGGATAGGTTTGGTTAGGATACACTGAACAATTTGGGAGATTAGACATAAGCTTCTAGCAAAAAACAGCTTTGTCTTGGGCCATTTGGTGACCAACAGCAATATGTCCATTCAGTAAAGTTGTGATCCTATATGGTTTAGGACCAGAAGAATTGATACGCACATACAAACTAATGCATGTATACAAATATACTGGAAATAGAAGCCTTTTACCTATTCCATGAGAATAGCGATACTGCATCTGTTTCTTTAGTAAAGCAGCAGTAGCAGCAGGAAGCCCTACAGCCAATCCATACCTATCTGCTAGTGCAGCTGCTTCTCCCTATCACATTGCACGACACTATGATAAGAAAAGATAGGTCAAAGACAAAAGAAGCACAAAAAGAGCCAAAATGCAGATTGATCACCTGAAGGGTCATATAGTGTCCACCTCTCCTAAGAACACTGATGCCAATTCTTTCAGTCTCAGGTACTCCTATGGTGTCTAAAACGGCATCAAACTTTCCTTTAACTGCTGCTTCAGTATCCTGTAAGGTAGGTTGTAAATAGAAGATAAACAAGATAGTGCTCAAGGCAAGGTGAATTTCTTGAGGGGAAAAATGCAATACAGATGAGGATAATTACTAGCCATTTATCCAATAGGTTAGAAGCTGGCACAAAATTCTAGTCCAGAAGAATAAGCGAAGATTTAGGTGTCTTGTGTGTGGGGTGGGGTGGGGTGTCTTCAGTTACATGTTTGCTCCATATAGTTATGCAATTCAAGCCAGCACAGAAAATTAATGGATTCCATGAGCATCCGTGGCATCCCGTACAAGTGCATATATCCTGGGCTTTCATCTTAATACATGGACAAGACTAATGGATGCCAGGAGCATCCCCTATAAGTCTATGTCTTGGATTCTGATCTCAATACACGAGAAACAAATAGTTACATTAGACCTAAGGGATAAAAAACAGATTAAGTGTCCGCAGAATCTCACAGACCTGCGAGTATAATATTACAGGTTTGTCATGCAAATGGGAGGATCAAAAACAGTTTCTCCGGCTGGTGGCCATTAAAGGTTTGCCTAAAGACACAAAGAAGGGACTGAACAGTTTGATCATTTTGAGTGCCTGGGAGCTTTGGAAACATAGAAATCATTGTCTTTGAGGAGGTAGCCCTTGTATTCAGTTGGTGATCCAAAATGTGAGAGAGGAATGTGGTCTCTGGTGCTCTGCTGGAGCCCGAGGCCTCAGCAGATTGCTATCCTCTTCTTCTCTTGTATGGAGCTGAGTTGGGTTGTGTGTGTTTGCTGGTTTACCCGGGGGGGGGTTGGGGTGCTGTGTGGGGTTTTGGGATTGGTCCCTCGACCCTCCCTTTGTAATACACAGGTGGGGGGTTCAGGATTGATCTTTATACCTCTCCTTTGTAGCCCCCTTTTTTTTCTTCTTAATGAAATGACATGCAGCTCTCCTGCATCGTTCGAGAAAAAAAACAAAGAACAACAATTCAAAGCATGAAGCAGCTGTCCAGCTTCATAGAGGAAAGTGCCAAAAGAACTAGCCAGAGTTTCCTTCTACTCCATGAAGAATAATATAGCTTCAGCAATAAAAGAAGGCCATGAAGATCACATGCAGTGTATTGAGTATCATACAACTATCACATGGTCACTAATATAGAATGCAGCATTTTCTATACTTCTGTGAAGGTAGACAAAGAATACCACTCACTTCTGCAGCAAGGTTTCACAAGACAACAACTGCAAACAAAGGTTAGGCGGCTTGTGTACGCTGTTGCATGACAAACTAATCTCTCAAGATACGATGTTATTACTTTAAAAGATTGTATAAGGACAGGAGCACCAAAGGCTACTTACCTCAGCAGTGTAATCAATAGCTTGTTCAGCACCAGCTCCTGTAACTCGCTCAATACTTTGGGTTCCACAGGTAGCAGAAACCCCACACCCAGCAGCCACCGCAAGTTGAACAGCAGCTAACCCAACCGCTCCTCCTCCACCAATCACAAGAACTCTTTGTCTGTAATTAAAATAAATGGCATTAAACTCAAGAAACAAAAAAGAATTCAATAAGCTTCCAATCAATCAGTAGCCTTACGCAGCTAATGACAAGCAAGCATGCATGTAAGCGTATGCAGTAGCCTGATTAACAGATTGGTATTCAGATTAACCACAACCAGTAGCATTTTGCAGCTAATGACAAGCAAGCATGTATGTAAGCGTGCGCAGTTCACCTGACTAACAGATTGGTTTTCAGATTAACCACAGAAGTCAGTCAGGCATACAATAGAAGACAAAGGAAGAGAAGTGTGGCACAGTACATTACTACGGTAAACCCAAAATTATTCAAAATTTCAACAGTATGGAACATTAACTTTTGCCAATGCCCAAATCCTATGCTTCTTGTCTGGTCGCTGCACAAGCACACTATGAGGACTCGCATCATTACAGGAAAAAAAAGGGAAGACCATGAAACTAGAAGTCATGGACCAAATATACAACATAAAAATAAATTAGAAGAACTGATTGTATGCAACATCAACTAAAGCAGTAGAAGCAACTGAGTATCTGCCTATCAAATGGTGTATGTAATCAGACATACCCTTCAGAAATTCGAGCCGTACCATGTAAAGCACGCCATGCAGTCAAAGCAGCAAACGGGATTGCACTAGCCTCCTGCGATATACCAGGCTCAATTCAATTATAGAAAATCGCCATAAGTCGTAAGGTACCTATCACATGCAAGTAAGACTAAAATTTAAAAACATCTGAGTCTCCAGTCATGACGAAAATAGGTGTGATACTTTCCATTAATAAACAATGAACATGAATGACATTTTGGAACGTCCATTGCTCAGATCATAAGTCATGTGTCACCTATAGCTCTAGTGCCCTTCTTCAGCAAAAAATCTGAAGTACATCCTTGGAATAAATCAAGACTTATTGTGTGCAAGAGAAAACAGGGTCTCCCAAGTTCAGATTAGGCAATAAAACCGTACTTGGCCTACAGAATCATCCATAATAGCCGACGGAAATTGATCCTAACATTATATTTCTTAAAAAGCTACTAGCACAGAAAGAGGGAAATCAATTTAATGACACCTACCACATGACTGAGTGTAGATGGTTTGAGAGTAAGCTCGTCCAGTGACAGGATAGCATAGTCAGCATATGTCCCTCTGAGAGCAGTTGGATGCAACGAACCGAACACTTCTTGACCAGTAGAAAATGACGATGCCGAAGTGCCTGTGGCTGCAACTTCACCGCTAATATCCCGACCAATGATCAGGGGTAGGAGTGGCTCGAATATGGAGCGCCCATAGCCTGATCGCATCTAAAAACAAGCAACACTTTAAGCATGCAGATCACAATGACAAACAGACTAACATAATCCTAAAGAATTTTCAATTTTTCATCACTCTAATAACACAGAAGAATACAAATTCTGTATGTACCCAAATTTACTAAATCATCAATCTTTTTTCCTCATTCATGTGCCTGGGTAGCACAATCTATCATGATATATTTCCCAATAAGTAGATAACACAACATTACTCATTTGGGGATAAAAAAATTATGAAATTTCGCCCTCTATCATAATGAATTAATGAGTTTTCTTTCAAAGGACAGCGTTCAATGTTGTAGAGAATAAATCACAGTACATAGCGAAACATTGCAAGATAATTCATCACTCTAATTTTGCAGCGCCTAAACCAATTTGAATCCCCAAAATCCGAAGATTTTCATAAGACGCTTCCGTTTAAGTCCAATGGAGGGAGGGGCATGGGTCCAAAATGGGGAGCTCACTCGCAGGTCCAGGGGATTGATAGAGACAGCACGTGCGCGTACGAGCACCTCCCGCGGCTTCAGATCGGGCACGGGCACGCCCTGCCTGACCTCCAGCACCTCCGGCCCACCGAAACGCGGCACCACCACGGCGCGGCAGCTCTTCTCCGCCCCCGCCGCCGCGGTGGACGCGGGCCGCGCCCCGGCGACCCACCGGCGGGCCCTCACCGCCCTCCACCACATCGCGCTGTAGCCTCGTCCCCACGGAACGCTAGCGGCTGCACCTGCGACTCGCGAGCCGGGAGGCGGCGATGGCTGGCTCGGCGACGAGGGAGAGTGTGGGAAGGGGTTAAGTATATCGGTGTATGTGACAATGACATGTGGGGACAGGGGGTGGGGGCTCAACGTGTCCTCGAGCGAGCAGACGTGGCTCGAGCAGGGTGCGACCGTGCGAAGTGTCGGCGCGCGCCTGCGCGCCGAGCAGCGAGCGGGCGAGATGGGAGCGATGTGTCCAGGTTCTTAGCCAGGAGCCCAGGAGCGTGCCGTGTCGAGGTAAGGCGAGATCTCGTCCGTCCATTAACCCACAGTCCATAGAATCGGTAGAGCGGGAGCTATGACCAGACGGCGAGCCGCTCCGGTTTTGCTTAAGCATGGATCTGATTGATTCTCTGCATTAGACTATGTATCTAGACTTATTGTATATGTTTTTTTTACAACAACATAGTTTGTATATGTTTGGTTGTCTATAAAAGATCTTATGCAGTCTTGCACGGTGCTCAAAGCACGCTAAACGCATCATTAGCTAGTACGTTAGATTGTTTTCGTATTAGACATAGATTTGTATAAGTTGATAGGCACACAAAAACAAAATATTTTCACATTCTCTACCTTTTCTAGAAACATGAGATTTCTAATAGAACATGTAAGATGACTATATGCAATAAAACATAAACACAATTCTATAGAACAACCAAACACGAATGCACCGCACATGTTTATGTTGGCTTAGATCATAGTGCATATGGTCTAATGTAGGCTAATTCTTATACAGACAACCAATCAAAATCCTATGTTTATGTAGGCTTAGATTTTATGTTGGTAGCACTTGGCTTGGGGCGAGATAGAGACCGAGGTGGGATATTCTATCTTATCTCAATGTTTAGTCCGAGGACACCGAGCACAAAATCATCCCTAGAAGAGAACATTCCCTCATATTCGGGGATAACCCTACTCCTAGAAATCTGATGGGCAACATCGTCCCCTTCCGACGTCGTTGTCTTCTGTTTCCACATGCGAGGATGAGTGTGCCAAGGTGAAGCCAGCGAGTGCTCGGCGCAGGCTCCGGTGAGCGTGCGACGGAGGCACATGGCTCGACAGGCTGTAGTAGGTGTCCAAGCCTGCTCTCCAAGCAGCTGCGAACGACGGAGCTCGGCCACGGATCAAGCGGGTGGCCTCAATTTCCATATGGGGCTGTTCCAGGTGCTAGGAGGGAGCAACGTGAGCTCTAGGTAGAGCTCCGGTGCCAACTCCAGGTGGCATCGGACAAGTTAGCTGGTGTCGGCAGCAGACAGGGTTGCATGGGACTAGGGGAGGCAACAGTGGCAGTGGAGAAGCAGACACCGAGGAGGCGAGAAGAGGAAGGTGGAAGAGGCTGACCCCACTTAACACTTGTCTAAGGGAGCTCAAACAACTATGTATCCTTTCTCTCTCTCTCTCTCTGTGTCCCTCATACCAAATACAAAACAGGGTGTCCCTGTCCTCTCAACCAAACACATATATATGACAATCCTGTCCTAGAAAATTGGAATGGATCCGTCTCATCTCTTCTTGTCTCCAAACCAAATGTAACCTAAGTGTTAGTTTTGCAGGGCTTTGGCTCCTTCTAAAAAGGCTTTGGCTCGGACTCCTCATATGGAGCAACTTCTTTGGTGGAGCTGAAGTCATTTTGGTAAACATTTAGCAAAACATCTCTAGTAGTAGTTTTGTAATAGTTAGTGTCAAAGTTTGTGAGGAGCGTGAAGAAGCCACGTTTTCACGACTCTGTCTCCTTAGTACAAAAACAACCTGGATCCTTGGAACTTCTTGAAAGAAGCCATTTTTAGATGGTCATTTGGCACGGCTCCAAAGAAAGAGCCCCAGGAGATCAAGGTCAGAACCATGCCAAAGGGGAGCTAAATGATTGTTAGAAAATAGCTCTAGTAGCAAAGAGAGATTGTAAGGATTATATGCATATGATCATATCTTTTGAGTTTTAGTGATTGAGATGATAACACAAGTCTAGGACTAGCATGCGTATTGAATATGTGATAGACATGTTATAATAGGTCCTATAGATGCAAGGACAAAATTTGATCAAGATCTGAATTAAAACGGAGACGAATGACAAAGATTCACTGAAAATTCGCTAATCAAGGCCATCAGTGTCTTCTCTGGCTAATTTACTGGACTCATGTCCAAAAGAAAATCAAAGAAACAAGCACACCTAGCTCCTTGATCTAATTCATGGAGGCCATGCCTGAGTTCCTCTGCTAGTCGCAGATGAACTTGTGCTCCCGGGGGCTAGCACATTCTCACCCTACTCTCGTGGAGGCCCACCTTGGTGCGCTTCCATTCATCTTTTGTGACCTGGCCTCGAACTGCACCAAGGCCAAATTTGTAATGCTTTGTTGGTGCAAGCTCCGTGAATCGGACCCGAGGCTCATCGTTGAGCATGAGAAAACTGACGTCATGGACTAAACCAATCTTGGACCCACGTGCGCAGATGTCAGACTGGAGGGCTGGGATGAGTTCGGGTCCTACATTGGTGATAGTGGATGTGCACCTTAGGCCAGTCATAGTGAGAGTTTCATGGCTCTGTTTCCAAAACTCCCTGATGGTGGAAACAATGTAAACATCATCCCATAAAACTATTTTCATCTCTCTTCATTTAAATTATGTCACATCAGCTTATTTAATGCCCCATGAAACTCCAATTGAGACTAGCCTTAGGGCTAGGGATGCAACTTCATTGTCGCCCATAGTCACGCATGCTGCACCGCCACCTACTTTCATCAATAAGTTCTCGCCCTGTTTATCGTTGCAGCATGGATGTTTTTGTGACACAGGGAAAATAGTGGATGACGTGTGGTGTTGAATCACCCGTCATGAATTAGGTTGAAAACCAAAGGGTACTTCAGTGCATTCGCATGGTTTCTCTCAACATAGAATTGACTAGTTTATTTGTCGCCAATGTCCAGTAGCAAATAGGCATGAAGGAGGAATGTTCTTGCTAAGCCACAATTAAAGGATATTCTACAACAAATTTGCCCTCTTGTGTTAGTGTTGGATATGCGGTATTGCTTAGTACTAGTAGGCCTCCCACGTGTTGCCACGGTGCTACTACCGTTCGGGCGTTATTGCTACTATAGAACTATGCATTTGCTGTTGAAATGTCCTAATGGCTAGAGAGGGGTGAATAGCCTATTGAAAATTTCTACAACAACACTTAGCAAATATGTTAGACAATTAAACGGTAAGGTGAGTGTTGCGCTAGCCTACTAAAAGAGCAAGCAACCTACCATAATTCTAGTGACTATGATCACTACACACACAATTTGCTAAGTCACTACACTAAGTTAGTGAGCTCTCAAAGGCAAACTAAAGAGCCTCACTAACCACTAGACCCTACACAAGCTAGCTCTCAAAACTAATTACACTAAAGAGCTTAGCTACACTAAGAATGTAATACAAGAGACGGGATGTGATAGTTATACCACTGTGTCGAGGATAGAGCCAATCACAATATGATGGGGCCAATCAATCACAATCAATCAAGAAATCCTCGACAATGATGACACAAGATTTTTTACCGAGTTTCACTTGCCTGCCGGCAAGCTAGTCCTCGTTGTGGCGATTCACTCACTTGGAGGTTCACGCGCTAATTGGCATCACAAGCCAAACCCTCAATAGGGTGCCACACAACCAACATAAGATGAGGATCACACAAGCCATGAGCAATCCACTAGAGTACCTTTTGGCTCTCCGCCGGGGAAAGGTCAAGAATCCCTCACAATCACTACGATCAGAGCCGGAGACAATCACCAACCTCCGCTCGATGATCCTCGCTGCACCAAGCCATCTAGGTGGTGGCAACCACCAAGAGTAACAAGTGAATTCCGCAGTGAAACACGAACACCAAGTGCCTCTAGATGCAATCACTCAAGCAATGCACTTGGATTCACTCTCAATCTCACAAAGATGATGAATCAATGATGGAGATGAGTGGGAGGGCTTTGGCTAAGCTCACAAGGTTGCTATGTCAATGCAAATTGCTAGGAGAGTGAGGTTGAACCAGCCATGGGGCTTAAATAGAGAGCCCCCATGAATAGAGTCGTTGGACTCCTCACTGCAACTTCCTTGGGGTGATCGGACGTGCCGATCACGGTGACCAGACGCGTGGCACCCTAGCGTTCGGTCGTGGATCATCGTCCACGTGTCCCCATTCTCCAACAGTCAGTTCACTCCTACGCTCGCGTTAAAGAAGGACCGGATGCACCGATCAAGAGATTGGACGCGCTAGCCCTGCGTTAGATCAACGAGACCACGCGCACTGCAACCAACGACTGGACGCGCTGATCCCTTTAGCTCCACGATATTAGGCTACGTCCAGAGAGCATCCAGAGCGCCCAGACCTGGACCGGACGTGTCAGGTGCGCCATGACCGGACGCGCCACCGCATCAGGTCGTAGTTGCACTCGCTAAACCGCTCATGTCATCTATCATCAGCACTGACCGGACGCACAAGCGTTGAGTTAGGTCACTTTCTTCTCCTGCGTCCGGTCAACCAACCAGTAGAGACCGAGCCTGCCACTGAAATTTATAAATGACCAGACGCTGACTCCCCGAGTCCGGTCACCACGTCACCTGCGTCCGGTCACTGTTTCTCAGTGAAAACCAACTCTTCCACTTCACCAAATTCACCACCCTTGCTCAAATGTGCTAACCACCAAGTGTATCACCTTGTGCTCATGTGTCAGCATATTTTCACAAATATTTTTAAGGGTGTTAGCTCTCCACTAGATCTAAATGCATATGCAATGAGTTAGAGCATCTAGTGACACTTTGATAACCGCATTTTGATATGAGTTTCACCCCTCTTAATAGTATGGTTATCAATCCTAAATGTGATCACACTCGCTAAGTGTCTCGATCACTAAACTAAAAAGCTCATATCAAGTTTCACCTTTATCTTGAGATTTTTGTTT